CGACAAATACCGCGCGCTTCATGCGCAGACAATATAAAAAATCATCAATCACACAATCACGAGATCTACAGACACCTCAAGTAACTCTCGACTATATCTTTTCGTGATCTCTCTCTCTTTCTCTCTTTCTCTATCTCTCTTTTCTTCCATGGGCGTGTCATCTCGATCTGATCCAATCCCCTCACCATATATTCCACCAAAATTCCGGCGCGCCTGTGTGTGCGAAGATGTATATAATAAAATCATCCGGGCGCAGCCAAAAAATCATCTGACAAATTCATCTAGATATAAGGCAATAAAACCCACGAGTCGCTGAATTCGATGGTATCTATCACTTCTTATTCTTGGGTGCTTATAGACTTTATATAGTGGCGCCAAGAGTTCCAACATTCCGCTATACATAGCAACTTTGAAATCCTACCTTTTTCTTCGTTCCTTTGCTAAAAAAAAGAGAAACAAAAAAAAGAAGAAGAAGAAAGAATGGAAAAGAAATGCGAGAGATTTTGCTTGTCGATCAGGTTAATACATGTTTCTTCTTCCGTCTGACGATTTTACAAACTTATAATCTTGATGACCCGGCCGAAACAGCAAAGCACAGAATTAAATAGTAGATGTACAATATATATTTTAATTTTTTCTTCCTTTTCTCTTTTGCTCGAAGAATGAATTCATAAATCTTAGTTTGACCTGTAAAATGAAATCTTTATAATGTTGTTTTTTTTATAAATTATTGTTTGATATTATCAGAAATATGTAAACTAAATAGAAATAGCATTCCCATTCTTGTATTGTACTTTATGTGGTTCGAAAAGTATTCGCCAGATGTCTTAAAGGTTGCTTCAGCTAAAAAGGCGTTTTTGAAAGGGGAACCTTTTACTGCGAACGTTTAGAATTTATGAAATTAATTTTTTATTTTTATTATTATTATTATTATTATTATTATTATTATATGTAACATCATGCATCAAATGAATGAAATACTTTTCATTAAACGTATTTCAATAAATTGCTATGATTACAATAAAAATTAAAGACTTGAACTTTACATTTTCAATAATTTATAATTAATTTTTTTCATTGAGACTCACAATTGAAGTAAAACAAATTTAATTCGAAGAAGAAATAAATAAGCTTCGTTCATTTGAATGTTCAGAATTGTAGAATCATGAATTGACAGAATTTTCTGATAGTAGCTGCAATTACTAAGGCGTAGGTGAATGAGTGATGAGTGAAAATTTTAGTCAGAGGTTCGATTCTCGGCGCTAGAATTTTATTTTTCAACTATACTTGTGTATAAGTTTAAATATATATTCAGTCTAAAAATTCTATAGAATTTTACTAGAATAATTTTATATTAAATAAATATTTAAATTTCCACAGGAATTCAATTAATTCAGAATAGCATTTTCAAAAAAATTTTCGAAAAATCAATTATTTAACAAAATTTTTATACAAATCTTCACAATAATCTAATTGCGTTCACTTATAATATTTTTCATGGAAATTCAATTATTTAAAAAAATGTTTGACAAAATTTTAAACAAGAATTCAATTATTTTTAATACTATTTTAAATTAATTAATCAAAAAATTCAATTAATTTCACAAATAAAGTTTTCCAGAAGAATTCAATTATTAAAAATAAAATTTTTATATTATTTAATATCAATAATAACAAAATTCTTCACAGAAATTCAATTCATTTTAAACATTTTAATAAAAATTTTTGCAATAATTCAATTATTTTCATAAACAATAAAATTCTTCTCAGGAATTCAACTATTTTTGAAAATTTCAATAAAATTATTCGAAAGAAATCAATTATTTTAAATACAATTTTAATTACATTTTTTTGAAATAATTCGCAATTATTCTTTTAGATTTTAATAAATTCTTCCCAAGAATTCAATTATTTACATTAATAATTCTTCGAAAGAATTGAATTATGTCAATGAATAACAAAATTGTTCACGAAAATTCAATTATTTTGAGGCATTGCAATAAAATTTTTTGCAAAATTTAATTATTTTCATGAATAACAATATTCATCACAAGAATTCAATTTTTTTTGAAAACTTCAATAAAATTCTTTGCAATTATTCAATTATTTTCATAAATAATAAAATTCATTGCGGGATTTCAATTATTTTTAATAGAATTTTACAGGAATTGTTATAAAAATGCAATTATTCTTAAAAATTTAACTTCAATTCCTCGAGAAAATAAATTATTTAAAAAAATTATTTTTTAAAATTCTTTGAAAGAATTCAATTATTTACAACAATATATTAGAATTTTTCTCAGAAATTCAATTATTTTCAAATATTTTAATATAATTGTTGGAAGGAAATGAATTATTTTAAATACAATTTTAATTAAATTTTTTTGGAATAATTCGCTATTATTTTTTTAGATTTTAATAAAATTCTTCCCAGGAATTCAATTATTTACAAAAATAATTCTTCGAAAGAATTCAATTATGTCGATAAATAATAAAATTATTCCCGAAAATTCAATTATTTTGAGGGATTTTAATAAAATTCTTTGAAAAATTCAATTATTTGCGTAAATAACAATATTCATCACAAGAATTCAATTATTTTGAAAAGTAGGATAAATTTATTCTTGGAAATTTAATTATTTTAAAAAATTCTAATAAAATCGTTCCCAAGAATTCAAGCATTTTAATAAATAATAAAATGCTTTTTATAAATTCAATTATTTTCAAAAAAATTTAATAAAATGCCACACAGACACTCAATTATTCTCGTTGTTCATTGATTTTCAATATCTACTAGTTTCATGAAATTTCCAAACAGAATTTAGTTATTTAAAAGATTTTTTGTAAAAATCTTCGTAAGAATTCAATTTTTTTCATGAATAATAAAAATTTCTCGGAAATTCAATTTTTTAAATTAGAATTTGCATAAGATTTGTCGAAAGAAATCAATTATTTTATCATTATTTAAAATCAATTATTTAATTAATCATCATTTCAATAATTAATAAAAAAGCTTCCTTATGACGAAGCATAATTAGTTTTAATAAGACATTTAAACTTTCTCTCTAAGATATAAAAATTCGAAATTTGTTTATTAAATTTCCATACGAAAAAAGAAAAATTAAAAATTAAATGAAGTAACCAAAGATGGTAATCGCGTATATATATAAATATATAAAAGAAATTAAGTTTATTATGATGTTAAATGATAGAATATGGCTGCGATACTTTAGTATTTTATTGCATATAATTAAAAGACACTACTCATCTCGTTGGTTCGCAATATAAGAGGATTTTATTATTTATCGACACGACGTAATCTGGGAATCGAGAGCTTCGAGACATTTTGGCCGGGTCGATATGTATACAAGGGGAAATACTTGGGCGCATTTTATTATCTTGTTCGTTCATAAATTTTACTACGAAAATAAAATATCTACCTTCCTATATAACAACCTTTAAAAAAAGGTTCCTTAGAGGAGAAGAGGACTCTTCTCTCTTTCTTTCTCTCGCGAACCATACGTGTGCCACCTTTGTTTTTTTGGTTTTTTTAAAAACTTGTTGATTCAGCACAAAAAAAGTTGTAATGACACAAAAGGAAACTTGAATATTTAATTATTTTATTAAATTTCTTTTTTTTTTTTTTTTTTACGGATTCGGAATATCGATTAAGGAGAAAGCTGCTCTGGATTTTTATTTGTGATGATTAAAAATTAAATTGATATTTTACTCTACTTTTGGAATTTATTAACAATTAATTGCTCTGGAATAATTTTTCTTTTAATGAATTTTGTTTTTTGTTTCTTCTTTTATATTAAATTTAGTAGAAAAAAAAATTATTAAGTAATAATTTGTTACACATTAAAAATATTATAAACTATATAATAAACTTTATAAATTCACAAAAGAGAGTTTTTTACGACTGTATTTTAAACTCACTTTTTAAAATTTATGAAATATCTTTATTAAGAAAACATTTTTTGAACGCTTATATTTTTAATGAACCTTGAAGAATAAATATTAATTATTACTTTATTAATTGTTTTTCCTTTGGCATATTACATTAAAATTTTTTAGATGTTTTTTATTATAATTAATTTTTAAATAAATATTTTCTAATTTTTTTTCAAGTAAAAATTACAAAAGTAAATGACAATTTAGTAAAAGATTATTTTTATTGCTTTCTTATGTTTCTTAAAACAGATTTCAACATAAAAGTAATTAACTTTTAATAATTAACTTTTTAATAAATATTATTTTCTTTCTTGAATATAAAAATATTTGATAGTAAAATTATTCTAGTGAAGATAATTAATTATTAACTGTCTAAATGAGAAAATTGAAAAATGAGGGTAAAAGTGATAAAACTTGAATTCAGTATACCTCGCATCGTCAATATATTTCGAATCTTTTGAAAAACAAATATTATATGGTACAGTCAGTGCTTTTCCACGATTCTAAAAAGCATATACAGTATAGACAACGGAATAGTTACAATAAAATTACTTAAGTGTCTATAATTTCGCTCAGTCATTCATTTAATAATTTTTTCTTCTTCTCTCACATACATAATTCAATTTCTTACAATTCTTTTTTCTTCCTTCTTTTCATTAAATAACTAATATGTACAGGATATCACACAATTAAATCGCAGTACATATCTTACAATTAGCACTAATTGTTTTCTTTCTTTTCATCTTAATAATAATAATTATAATAATAATAATAATAATAATTAAACATAGTCTTTCACACAATATTTACAAGAAATTTACGCCATTTCGAAAATAATTTCCAAGTAAAAAATATTACATCTATAGTAAAACATATATAGCTATGAAACAATTACTATGAAAAAAATTATATACACAAATATGTGTTCCAAAAATGTATATTTTCTTTATAATGACATCTATTTGAAAAAAATGTCAATTATAAATAATTACTATTTTGTAATATTTTTTCTTAGACTATAAATATTTCTCTGCAATTTTCTTTTCTTTGCAATTTACACTTTTATTAATATTTCGTTTAGAATCAGTTTTTTTAATATTCTTAATTTACAATTTTTTTTCTTTAAAATAAATTAACTCTTTGGACGAAATAAATTGAGAGTTGGACGATTTTTTTTTTGAAATTATTTACAATCATTGGGGAATTTTTCGAAATTTGAAAACTGTTTTTAATATATGGTTGGGGAAAAAATTAATTAAGAATATTAAAAAAAATACGTCAAGGGAAAAAACAGAAATATATTTTCTTAGTTGGTATTTACTAGATTTCACGTGACGACTATAAAGAAGCGTTTTAGGCGTGTGCACATCGAAAGTTTTGAAACTGTTTTGCTATATTTGGTTTGAAGTAAAATTGAGGCACAAATGTGGTTGCACTTTTATACAATCACCTAATGCGATTTCCATATATCAAGCTTTTTTTTATACTCTATTCGATTCTAGAACTATTCGAAAATAGGTAATTCATTAAATTTATTCGATTGAAAAACATTTTTAATTAATAAGGTTCAAATCGTTTCAGTTCCAATATTGGTAACAAGTTTAAAAGAGAGATTTGTTTCGACATCAATTTAAATACTAAATGTCGCATTTGATAAAAATAAATATATATATATGCTATAATTAAACTACAATTTAATATGTATCAAAACAAATTCGTTTCTTTTAAACTTATTATTCGAAGGAATTTGATTCGATCATTGGAATCATTTGGTATCTTAATGAATTAATTCTTTACATTGGCCCTAATATTATGCACTTTGAGATCTTTATAGTAATTATTTACAACAAATGAATATTTTTATTTCAAGAGATCTGCATTTTCCTTTGGTTCGCAATGTAGCTTTTTTATTTATTTTTTTCTTTTAGTCTCCTTTGTAATCAAGTAGAAAAAATTTTAATTTCGATCGAATTTTTTTCCCTAAAAATGAACTAGAATTGAAAAAAGAAAATTGCAATCAGTAGAATCTGCGCCAGCACAGATAGTATAACAAAATGTTAATTTTCCGTTGACGAACACTTTTTTTTTGATCTCTTGTTTAATGTCTCAATTTGATCAAATTGGTCCAATTATTCACCTCAACGGAAAGTTAAAATTGAAACAATATTTTAACGAAAAATAAAAAACTATTGATTGTAGAACGATTACAAAATTTTTCTCAATTTCAAGTGGAAAAAATAATTCTCTATCTTTAATATATGCGGAAAAAATTCGAATTTAGAAAAAAAGAAATCGCTGATGGTGTAAAGATAGAAATGCTATTTGAATTTAATAATATTCTATTCAATCCAATTCAATTGAATTATGAAAATTAATTTTCATGTTAATGATGAAAATTAATTTTCGTGTTAATGATGAAAATTAATTTTCGTGTTAATTAATGACAGTTGATGATGAAATTTAAGTTTCGTCTTAATTAATGAGAATTAATGATGAAAGAATGAAATTTAAAAAGTGCAAAAAATATTTAATTCAATCAAACCAATTTGCCAACTGATTTCAAACATTCGATTTTTGCAGAGAGGTTCCACAGCCAAGCGTCGATGACGAACATCGAACAGAACGAAAAAAAAAATATCCATGCGATCCCCCAATTGGCCTAATCCCATAAATATTTAATCTGGATCAATTCCAACAAAAGAATAAAAAACCAGTCACGTATTTGTCATTAGTATTTTAGATATTAATGAATACTCGCTGGATTTGGTCTTTAGCCGCTTTCATTTTTTTTTCGTGAATCATGAAAGTACTTTGTCAAACTAAAATGACTGTTGCAAAATCCATTTTGAAGAATCCTTTTCACAAAATCCATCCGAAAGGATTGCATTCTAAAAATTCTTTCGTTAGGAGTTTCTCAAAAATTTATCCAAAAGGATTGTTTGATTTTTATTGTTTTCCGAAAGAAGTCGAAAGGATTCATCCGAAAAGTGTGTTTTTGATTGTTTTCCGAAAGGATTCAGCCAAAAGGATCAATTGTCTTCTAATGGTGAAATTGTCCAGATTAATATTCAGATCATCAAGAAAAGTTTGGTTAATACGCAGTCGCTTGATGATGCATCAATGGGTTAAAGTGATGACCAAGATGATGTGGTGGTGGACCTGGCAGGGGACTGTGTTGTGAACCCACTGGCGTCGGTTGACAGACGTACCATTCCGTTAATTCGGGACCCCTTGACGATAGGTGTGTCGGTGGTGGATTTGTCGTTAGTGTTGTTGTTGCCGAAACAACAGTTTGAGGTTGTGGCGATTCCGTGTGGCCCGTTACTGATAAACTACCACCGCTACTGCTACTTTCTTCGCCCTCGCTCTCGTAACCGCCTCCGAGTTTTCCATCTCCCAATGTCATTCCGTGCACCTGAAATCAGAAAAATGGGTTTATTAGTCTTTAATAATTAATAATTAAATTTAATACAATTTTCAAACCATTTTTGAAAAATGGGTTTATTAGTCTTTAATAATAAAATTTTAATACAAATTTTGAAACAATAAATTAATTGTGACGCGATCCCTGAAGAAAGGTATACCTAAGAAGCAAAAAGTTTTAGTTTATATTTATAATATTTGGAGCAAAAAAATTTTAAGAAAATTTTAGGTTATGTTTATAATTTTTTTGAGTAAAAATGCAGAAAGAGAATTAGTTACTATTACAAATTATTAAGGTTCAAGTCTTTGACATTCAAAATATTCAATAAAAACTGATTTTAGTTTTATGCAATTGAACAAAAAATTTTAAATTGAGAAAAAATAACATAAACATAACCTATAATTCGTTTGCTTCTTAGGTACAAAAGAGCGCGACAAAAATAAAAAAAGATTTAATTAGAAAAAACAGTTTTAAAAAAAGCATAGTATTTGTTTTTTGGTCAAAACTATTTTTTCCTACGGTATTTCCTTGTATTTATTTGTGTCTATTTTTGAAGTAAACTTCAACGTATTTTTAAAAATTTAAATACATTTTTACTTATTTCCTAATTCTTTTTGGCGAGAAATTTTGTTTAAGTTACATTACGTTTCTTGATTTATTTTTATTTAATAGATGATGTAAGAGTCAGTGATGAGAAATTTGATAAAATGGGAAAACAAATTTCTGTGTTTATTTTGATGGAATTTTTGCGAGTCTTCAAAGTCGAGAAGCAAAAGAGAAGAAAAAAACGTTCGGTTTGATAATACTCATTGATTTAGAAGAAGCATTTAGGTTTATTATTCTTCTTTTTCTTCTTATCTCCTTGCCTGGCAGATATAGTTTTAAATTTTATCTTTATTTTTCCAAAAATATTATTGAAACAAAAAAAAAATTCAATTTTTATTACAGCCTAAATTTTTGAATTAATAAAAGTTTCCTCAAATTTTTACTATTTTATTTAGATGCTTTAAAATATTATTTATTACATTCTCATTTTTTAATTATTATTAGTTGCTTTAAATTTTGTGTCCCTAACTTCTGAACGTTCAAAAGCATAAATTTTTAGATCAGTAAAATATTCCTTCAGCTTTTAGTTAAATTTGACTATTTTATGTAGTTGCTATAAATATTATTTAATTATTTTATTATTATTATTATTATTATTATTATTATTATTATTATTATTATTATTATTATTATTATTATTATTAGTTGCCTTAAATTTAAATTTTGTGTCCCTAAAATTCTGAACGTTCCAATGAACGAAATTTATTTAGTAATAATTATTTATTTATTTATGCAAGTCTAATTTGAATCAAGGAAATTGTGATGAACTCAAAAAAAATTCGTTCTTTAATTCAATAAAATTATTAGTCTATAAATTCTTTAACGTTCAATTGAACAAAATATTTAGTCGATAGAAATATTTTCAAAAATTACAATTGATTTCAATAAAAAATAGAAACAAAATTAAAAATTTTAAAACTGTATAATTTATTCTTATAATGTGTGACTCAATGTTATTATTGTAATAAAATTGGAATTTGCATAAGAAATAATAAAATTTTGTTCATTTCAATGTTCTGAATTTTGATTAATTTTTTTTATTAAATTTTAAGTGAAAAATCACTAAGGATGCAAAACATTTATATCCAATTACTTAATAAATGTATTAACAATTATTTCGGTTTATTTAAACGTTCAAAACTTTAGAGACGAATTAAAAATATAAAAATTATAAAATATAATAATACTAATACAATGGTAACAATAATATTCAGAATAAGAATGATTATAATAATAATCATGAAGATGTTAATAACAATAATGAAAATAATAATATTCAGAATAGGAATAATGATGATAATAATCATAAAGATAATAATAATAATGAAAAAAAAAAAAAATAATAATAATAATAATAATAATAATAATAATAATAGTAATAATAACAAAAAGGAGTGACAGAAGTCAAAAGGTTGCCCCATCAAAAAGAATGTCATGTTTCTCTCTGTCTCTAATTTTCTCGGTAAGAAAAAAAATCCTCCCTCTCCTAATATAGAGAAAGATGTTGAGCATCTAAGTTAATCACGAAGACTAGCTTCCGCGAATTATTTAACGTCGACGAAAAATCAAGATTGCCATCATCGTCATCATCATCATTATCATTATCATCATCAGCCTATATATAAATGCCTCTATATATACATATATTGAACACGTATCTCGGGAGTTAGGTAAAGTGGTTTGTTCTGGTCTAGAGTGGTAATTTCCCATTAAGATTCCTTGCTCGGTCGCGCGTAAACTTCACTAGATCTGACTTCTCTTCCCTCTTTATTTCTTCACAAGATAGACAGAACGTCAGATTTCGCTGCTACTTGCAGAGGATCATCGGGAAAGGTCAGGAGAGGCTTCTTCTTCTTCTTCTTCTTTCTTTCTTTTTTTTATGAAGAATTCTTTTTTAAAGAATGGCAAGCGCTTGACTCCTTCTCATCTTGGTTAAATTTCATTTCGTGTTATATTCACAGAGAAACGTGTTTTATATTTAGAATTCGATTTTTACACGTATAGCCATCAGAAAGATGAGAGGGAATTTATAATGAATTATTAGTTTTATTAATAGAATGGAGAATTTTCAATTTGGCATTTTTCTCTTTGAAACGGAATTTTTGATTTTTCTTTTTATTTCTGACTTTATTAGTCTTGACTCGTATACTTTTAGTATTTTGGTTTGGTCGGAATTGCGGTCATTTTATATTTTTTTGGATTGTTTTCCTTCTTGTAAATGGACTGAATCACTAGGCTGATTGATTGTTTATTAATTTAGTTCGAAGGGGAAAATAAAAATAGAAATACATACCTTCATGTGTTTGCGCAATGAACTCGGATGGGTGTAGGACTTATCGCAGCCGGAAACTCGACAGTTGTAAGGCTTGTCTGACGTGTGGACGTGACTGTGTTTTTTCCGATCGCTGCTATTCGCGAATCGTCTGTCACAGCCGCTGTATTCGCATTTGAAAGGCTTCTCTCCTGAAATAGAAAAACAAGAACGATTGTAATTTACTTTTTCATAATAGTACAAAACTCGGATCTATTGCGTCATTATTACCAAAACAACTTGCATCAGATCCTATATTTTTCAAAAACTGTTATAAAATTGCAAATTTAGCAAAACAGGTCAACATCCTTTTGATTTTGAATAAAGTAAAGAAAAAGGTTAAAAAAAAATTCTCAGTAGGGGAAAAGTAAAATAAAAAGGTAAAACAAGTTCCAAAAAACCAAAAAATTTTTAAAAAAAGCTTCCTCTTTTGGCTGCTGCGGGAGATATCGAGAGATAAAGTCCTCGCACGCGAATGGCTGATATTGCCAGGGCGCAACGACGCCGTCGGCGGAACGCTCGAGACCCGTGTGGCGTGACTTTATTTATTTCTAACGGAAGTTGACTGGAATATATTTTACCCAGAGAGAGAGACCCCCTCCGAACCTCCTGGCACTACTCTTGAGAAGAGCGAAGGCGCGAAACGGAAACGTAAAGTTGGCGGATTTTTTATGAGAAAAATGGCGACTGGGTTCCACTTTTCTCTCCTTTACAATGTGAATATAAGAGAGGGTGCGAATTTCACTTATACCTTTTCCTCCCCAATGAATTTCTTCCTTTTAAAAAAACTTTCCGCAAAATTACCCAAAAATTGATAATTACGCACTTTTTCTGCAGATATCAAATTGAGACAAAAAACGAATAAAAAGTGTTGCGAACTTGTGTTTTTGGGAATACAAGTTCGCAACACTTTTTATTCGTTTTTTGTCTCAATTTGATAACTATGTGCTTAAAAATAACAAATCTTTAAAATTAGTAGAAATTGTAGAAATAGCAATTATAGAAACTAAAAAATTCAAAAAACAATATTTAAGAGCATTAAAAGTTTTGATCATGTTCGAAAGAGTTATGCAGGTGCAATTCCTGACACATTATAATTCGTTTTTATCTATATAAAAAAGAAAACGTCCTGACACCCTTGTTGCTTATCCACGCCTTATTTTGCAAAACAAGGATGTATCTTGGGACAAGCTAATTAATTTTGCTGCTATCCACAAGATGCAGCGGTACTTATTCGTCTCACGTGCGAAAAGCACGATAACGATGGTAGTTCCAACGAGTTATCGTCGTGACATGGATTATATTCAAATCACTCAGTTTCCTGTAGGAGTGTAATACGCAACTGCCCGTAAAACGACTGCAAAAAAGAAGTTTTGAATATTCATAAACGCAAAGGGGAGTTATATGCTTGTGCTTCTCAAATATAAAAAAGAAAGAATTGTCAGAAACTTTATGTACTGTAAGTAATATGTCAAATCTTTGAAAGTAAAATTTTCTTCTCCTTTTTCGCTCTTGGTATATGACGCTGATGTGCAAATGTTTTTTAAAAACGAAAAAGGGAAAAAAATAATCGTACGATATTTATTATTTTCAAATGATACTGATCTGTGAAAAAAGTTAATTGCTTTGAAGATTTATGTATATTAAAGATGGCGAATCAAAAAGAAGTACCCTAACAGGATATTTTAGGACGGATATCCTAGAAGTATCCGAAAATTTTGAAATCCTTAGAGTCCTCAAGATAGCCATGGCACATCCTACGATTATCATAGTTTTCGGATTAGAATTGGATCTTTCTTAAAAAGACGATTTCGATCACCTAATTAGTATTCATATGTAGTGAAGAATTAAGAATTCGTACAACAAAAAGTTTTCTATGCATCAGTAATAAATACATTCTGTTTGGATTTGATCCCCAAGTTCACACTCAATTAAAATAGGAAAAACCGTGATCTTTCAATTGATTTGGAGCTCTGATATTCGTTGTTGAAGAATAGGAAGGATTAATTTGTTTTATATAGGTATGAGTTTGTTGTGTATAGGTATAAGTTTGTTGTCCACATATAGCAGAAGTCGCATTCTCTCTCTTTTAGAAGTAAAGAATACATACAAGAAGTTTGTGAAATTTGGACGTGGCACGGAAGCAGGACGATTAATAACTTTTCAAATCTGTCCTCGGCAGGGCCCGAGAGCTTGGCAACACGTCGGCAAATAAATAGCAGATAAATAAAAGCTTCGTCCTACGTCCTCTATTCTGTCGCACGGGGTTGCGTGTGCAGATGGCAACAATATACCGTGAAATATTGCTGCTGGTGTGCCCCCACGTATATATGTGAGTATTGTAGTCAAGGAGGATGATCGTGATTGTGTGTATGTATGATATTCTCTCCTCTATCAGTACAGCGGAGATAAATGTATTTGTGTGTATATGGATTCAACACACAGTCGTTCGAAATCGAGCGACCATATTCTAGAATGATGGCACGATCCTCAAAAGTGTTCTCTCTCTCTCTCTCTCTCTCTCTCTCTCTCTGTCTAGTGTGGATATCGTGTTATGACTTTTAGAATGGGGAGCACAATGGCCCAGATCCACGCGGGATAAAATAGTTATTATAATCGTTTTAGCTCGACGAGGCCAGGGATTGGAGATACACACACATACCTATCCGACTTTGCTCTGTTACCTTACCGAAAGAACCATATCTGACTGGCCTAGCCCGAGGAACCCGTCCAAGTTTCCAAATAGAAGACGATAATGTACAAATGACTGGATTAGAAAAATGTAGATCGCAATCGCATCTGGCAGCTTGGAATTATCGGCGAACAGTTGTAAGTTCTGCCTCGAAGAGTTTACGTTTTGCCAAAGAGAGGAGTTTAGGATAGACAACCGACTACCTGCCTCACACTCCTCTGTGCATTATGTGATTCGCTCAACCTTCCCAGAAATCTTCAAATCCTTCTGACTTTTTTCTTTTATTTTCATTGTTCTTTGGGGAGATCAACATACATTCCTTGAAATATGTAAGCGTACAAGAGATTTCAGTCAGTTTCGGAAAGTTTCTAATCAAGGGATTAGTGTTTTTATGCTCTCATCAGATGAGGTTACCTTTTCAATAATATTTTTTTAGAGTATTGGCGATATTGTGTTTGGTGTATTCAGTAGATGGTGTGATTCTTATTTTGTTACAATTTTTTTTACAAAACTTCCGAATTTGCTCTGCAGAAACGATTAGAGTTTGTTCTACACAAATTGTTACAATTTGTTGTACCAACCAACAGAAATGGTGCAACAGAAACCTTCAGAATTTGTTGTATTCAAAACATCAGAATTTGTTCTTCATTAATCGTTAAAATTAGTTTTACAAACCATCACAAGTGGTTTGAGAATAACCACAAAAATTTGTTCTGTTCGAACCATCAGAATTTGTTCTACATTAATTGCTACAATTTTCTGTACACACAATCAGAATTTTCTCTATAAAAATCGTCTAAACTGATTTTATACTAACCACCAGAATTTTTTCTGTTTAAACCATCAGAATTTTCTCACCATTAATTTTTAGAACTTGTACCAATTATCAGAATTCGTTCTGTATATTAATCATCAAAGTTTATTTTATGCTAATCGTCAGAATTTATTGTACTAATTATCAGAATTCCTTCTCTATTTCAAAGTAGAGTTTAAACTTCAAAGTTTTGTTCTCTAATAATCGTCAGAATTCGTTCTGCATTAGTCGCTAGAATTTGTTTTGCTAATTATCAGGACTTGTTCTACACCTATCATTAGAATTTGTTCCACATTAATTGTCACAATTTATTGCACAAAATATCAGAATTTCTAATACTAAAATTTATTTATTACTGAAATTTGTAATACTAAAATTTGTAATACTAAAATTTGTTTAATACTAAAATTTGTTAAATGCTTATCAAAATTTGTTCCACCAATCGTCATAATTTGTTCCACTAATCATCGTGAGTTGTTCCACTAATCAGAATTTATCCTCAAAAATTTGTCGGACAATTCATTAAGAACCCAGATCCAGATACCCGAATGCTAATACCAAATCCGTTAGGAATGTGAATTTATTTCTGCTTGTTCTTCAACCTTACACAATAATCATAAAGAAAAAAATGTTTGATACTTTGAGAATACCGAGTATAGATTTAGTACACGTAATTTTAGAAAAGATGTAAAAGCATTCCAGCGATTTATTCCAGGAACGAGTGAGAAGCAGCTTTTTTTAGAGAGAAAAAAAGAGAACAACGTTTCTAAAGAGTGTGCGCAGGACGATTTCGAATAGTGGTTCATACTGTATATATGTTGTATACTAAAAACGAGAATCTAGTTGGAAAGTATGGTATAGATTTGGAGTTTTGGTGCAGGCGGTCGAGGGAAAATGGACTGGCCACAGTGTCGGTGGGGGCATCTTGGAAGAAACTCATTGAACTGCAGTTTTTGGAAAAGCTTCGAGTGATATATGGGCGTACACCATTGTCCTCAAAACGAAGGCATCGTCGGGGCCTCGGATCCGAATATAATGGATGATTTTTCGCGTCCATTGTATTGGGAGGACACCAGTATGGGCCACCAAACAGTGTTGCCAACCTTGCCGAAATTCCGACCCCTCCTTTCTGTTTTTTTTTGTGTCAAATAGAGAAAAAGTATGAAGAAGACCCCGATTTTTTTAAAGCGTTCTCGAGTGGATAATTTTCTTGTTATACGTTCAATATTAAGGGTAGGGAAGAGAAACGATTCTTTCTTCTCCCCCTTGCGGCTATATCGATCCCGACTCGATCAAGGTAGATCGGGTCAAGATAAACTTCACCGAGTCAAGGAGATTGTTGATCAACATGAAAAGTCATCGGATTAGGACGATCTGATATTGGTTGTAAATCGAATTATTTGTGTTGATCGACATCGATCTTTTTTGCGAATTAGTTTCTTTTGCTGTAATCGTCACTTTTTCTAGTCTAAAAAAAGTTTCTGTAATGTTTTTGTAGTTTTTTTTGTAATTTTTTGTCTTCTTTGTAATCTTTTTTCGTAATCTTCACTTTTTGTAATCTGTTGTTGTTTAGTGTGTCTGCTTAGTCCGGTCTAAAGAGAGGAAGGTGAGAAAAAAGTTAATAAGAAAGAAATCATTGAGGTGGA